ACATTTAGGGAGACAGCGGGTCGGGTCGGCGGCCCGTGCGTAGGACTGCATCTCGATATTGAGGCAGGCAGTACCAACCCTCTCACCTGGCACTGAAAATGCATCCGCTCTCTTCCTTCCCCCATTGAAAGCCACGCCCATATTGCAAGTGCGGTTCGTGTTGCCGCCCGTCGCCGTCCGTCCGCCCGTCGTCGAGTCGCCGCCCACGCCCCCTCCCATTACCCCCGCCCCGCGCCGCAGGCGGCACCAGCGGCGCCTCGGGCTCGGTCGCGGTGGCGAGCGCGAGCCCGAGCGCGGAGATGAAGGCGTTGCTCGACTCCCTGAAGGCGGGCTTCATTTCTCTATGGGCCATGGGAGATGTGGGTTTCTGGGGGGAACCAAACGCTGGCTATCAGACACATCAGAGGAGGGCCGATTCCAGGCCCTAGCTCGTGGGACCTGCCGCGTGGGCGGTTGCGTGTAAACGTGTAAACTTCCAAGACGGCGTTTGGCAGGTGCCCCGCATCTGTCGTCGTCGTCGCGTCGTCGTCGTCAATCCGCCGAGCCATGCCCTTGCCCCCATGCTCCCTTGGCCTACCCGAGTGCTGCTCTCGCCATTGCAGGCCCGGTTCCGTTTCGCCCGCCTTCTTCTCGGCGCAGCCCCCCCCCCGCCCCATTCTTCGGCGCGGGGCCGCAGCGGCGACATGTCGGCCCCACTGACAGCATTGACAGCGCGGCCCCAAGCGGCGCAAGCCCCAACAGTAGCCCCAACAGCGAGTGCTTGCATCGTCGGCCTTCGAGCCCGAGACAGGCGACCATCAGCCCCTCGCGCCCTTGCATATCGCACCCGCGGGCATACGCATGTCAGTTGCACAAGGCTGCTTGGAGTCCACGCTGTCTGACGTCCGTAGCCGCAGCCATTCGGACTCGAATTCAGCAGCGCTAGCAGAGTTAGCAGAGCTTCTCGCGTCTCACTTTCGATTCTGGGTCAGCACCTCACCGATTCCAATCGACTTCCTCCAGCATTCGTGGCTGAGCTCACTAACATGGCTCAGTCGCTGACGGGGCGCAGCTGGGAGGCCCGACTGTCCACCTCAGTGTCGGGGCTCCACTCCCCGAGCCTTCGGCTCATCCCGAGGTTGGGAGGGGGCTGGGGCGGCCCTAATTGCCTAACTGGGAGGGGGGAGATGCGTGGGAGGGGGAGCGAGGGGGGGCGCATGGCCACCAGAGAATTTAGAATCCAGGATGGGGCTCACGGAGTAGGGGGCGGAGAAAGAGGATGAGAAGGAAGAGGAAGAGGGGAGGAATAGGAGGATGAGGAATATGAAAAACGCAATGCCCTTTCGACTCTTCGACCGTTCGCGCGGCGGCGGCGGATATTACGTGCGCTGGGATGGGGCGATGAGGTATACGGTGCCGGGCCCGCCGTCGTCGGCGGCCGGCTCGCGCGCGCGGCCGCAGGCTGCGATCTCTGCGGCGGTCGAGGCAAGCTGTGGCGGCCACCGTGATGTCCTTCACGGTGAGCTTCGCAAGCATCGTGATCTCCAGCTTCAGCTTCAGCAGCAGCCGCAGCAGCCGCAGCCGCCTCAGCCTCAGTGCACGGTCACGCATGGCTGCGGCGGCGGCGGCGAGGCGCGCGGCATTGGCGGCATGGGCATGGGCGGCATGGGCGGCGCGGGCACTGGCGGCGTCGGGGCGACGGCGGCCGCGGGCCCTACGCGCGGCGGAGCGAGCGGCGGCGGCGGCACGGGCCGTGGCACTGGCACGGGCGCGGGTTGCACGGGCGGCTGCGGAATTGGCGGCGGCGGCAAGGACGGCAAGGGCCCCTTCAAAGGCGGCAAGGGCACCGGTGGCAAGGGCACGGGCCACGCGCGCGACATGGGCGGCGCGTGCTTCGGCGGGGGCGCGGGCCACGCGGGCGGCGGCAGCGGCGGCGACGCGGGCCCCGCGGGCTGGGGCCGCGGGGGCCGCGCGGGCCGCATGGGCCCCGAGGGGGGCTGCGCGGGCGCCGCGGGCGGCGGGGTCATGTATGGCATGGGCCCCGCTGGCGGCGGCGCGGGCCCCGCGTGCGGCGGCGTGGGCGACGTGGGCGGCATGGGCGGCAGCGGCTGCGGAGACGGCGGGGGCGGCGGCGGCGGCGGCAACGCCGCCCAGTTTTCCCTTTCCCGCGCGCCCTCCCCCATGACGCCGCCCCTGCTGCCAGGGGTCTCAGCGAGTGCTCTCTTCTTAGGGGCGCCGTCGGCTCGGGCGGCTCGGGCGGCTCCGAAGCAGCCCCGCTCGCCTCCGCCCAGCCACCTCCTTGCGGCGCGCTTGAGCTCGCAGTTGCTCTCGAGGGCCGCGGCCGCCATGTCCCCCCCGACGCCAATCACTAAGCGAGGTGTTATGGTCATGCAGCCGCCGACGCCATGTCTTGGAGCGCCAGGCTCGGACTGCGGCTCGGACTCGGGCCACTCGGCGGCAAATTTCCAGCAGTTCCAGCCATGCGAACGACGACGCCGACGACGTCGACGACGACCCGACGACAGCGATGGAACGGTGAGGGGGCGAGGGGGCGTGGAGGAGCACCGCGACGGCGACGACGACGACGACGACGACGCGACGACGACGACGACGACGCGACGACGGCACCGCACGGGCCGCACGGGCCCGCGCTGGACGCGCTGGACATGAGAGTGTTTTGGGCGCGGCTTCAGCCGCGCACACCTCGGCACATCGGGACAGAATTCGTTCGAATTACATCCATCCTCGCTTGCCCCCCTCACTTCCGTTTCATAACCGCTCCTCCTGATCCCAAGCCCTCGGCCTCATTGTTCCCCATCCTGACCCCCCGTCGCGTCGGTCCCACCGTCCTGAGGGGGGGCGATCATGATCGGGGGGGCCTCGTGGGGTGTCAGGGGGGGCTGTCTTGCCTTGCTTGAATCCGCCTTGGGGCTCCCGTCGGACCGTCGGACAGGTCTGGTCTTCCTGGGCCCCTGGGCACTCCCGTGGGCCCGTGGGAACGATGTCGAATGCCCTCGCCGTCGAACGTGGGCGCGCCCCTCGCACGCCTGGTGACCCCGCGCGGACGGCGCTCTTCAGAGAGACCCAGCGCACCCGCCCCCCCCCCCCCCCCCCCCCCCCCCCCCAGGTCAGCGACGCTTCCATGGGCGCGGCCTTCGGCTTGGGTTACAGCGGCTACGAGGCGCGCCACCCTGGCAAGGTCTGTGCCATCATTCGAGCACAGGTGCCCATCAGCGATCCTCCAATCTCGACCTAACCTGGACCTGGTACCTCGGTACCTCCTAGCGTCGGGTCCGTCGCCCAGCCGCCCAGTTTGTCCCCCATGGTCATCACTCCCCCCCCCCGCCGCCCGCCCGCCCGACCCCCACTTAGTCACTTGGACTCTTCTGGGTCGGGCCTTGGCCCTGGGCCGCGGAACCGAATGCCCGCTTGCTAGGACGCGGTTGCCCCCCCCTTCCCCTCCCCCAGTTTGTGAAAGACTACGCGTTGCCGTGGAGTGGCACGCAGCCATTCTTCCGCGACGGCGGCAGTGACGGCGAGAAGCTCTTTATCAGGCACCCGCTTAATCAGCGGCGCCAGCGGGGGGCAATGCGGCACTGCAAGAAGTTGATTCTGAAACAGGGCGTGTCTTGGTCTGATAGGGCGGGAGATATCGTCGTTCAGCCCACTTGCCTTGACCCCAGCAAGTGGGTCCTGAGGGTGCTCGGCGGGGCCACCTTGCTGGACGCTTGCTACAGCGCCATCGAGGGCGCCCCGGAGAACGACCAGGTCTCATCGATGATCGAACATCAGGTGCGCGGGAATGCTAATTCGATCGCGGAGGGGGTTGGGTCGTTGCGGCATTGCATGCATTGCATTTGATTTTTGCGACCATGGGCTCATCCTCACCACCTCCTTCTCGCGCTCTCTACGCTGGGTGCCCCCCCCCCCCATCCCCCCCCCCCGCGCAGGTGCCCCGCATCCAGCTCCTCAATCCGAACGCGCCCCCTGGCGCGCTGTACTGGACCAGAGTGCAATGCAATAAGCTGGTGGCCATCGGCAGCACCACGAGCTTCTTCGAGAAGCTCGAGCTCGCGCCCGTCGTCGTGGCCCATTGGCAGCAGCATCGGGCAGCGCTCCGCAAGAAGCGCACGGGGGAGGGCGAGGCTGAGGAGGATGGAGGAGAGGGCGGAGAGGGCGAGGCGGAGGGAGGCGGCGCCGAAGCCGACGCCGAAGACCCTGGCGAGGAGGCCGGGGATGAGGAGGCGGAGGGCGGCTGCGAAGAAGGCTTGGGGGAGCGTGGCCAACGACCGATGGATGGGGGCACGGCCACTCCATCCTCCTGCCCCCTCCTTCCGACTCCGACTCCGACTCGCTCCCTGTCCCGCCGCCCTGGCTTCCCCCACCCGTCCCCGTCCCCCCGCCTCTTCGGCCCTCTTTCGGCCTATGCCCCCGTCGGCTTGGCCCGAGCGTCGCTTGCTCGCCCTCCCACGGGGCGGCGGCAAGAGGAGCCAGTCGGGCTTCTACACAGCGCACAGCAAATTCATCCAGGACCACTGCGGCGACGTGTTCCAGTCCAGGGAGGAAGTCAAGGAGGCGAACATTTGTCGCACGAAGGTTGAGGCCATGGGCATATGGGAGAAGATTACCGATTGGTGGGGGGACTGCGTCGCGTTCGAGGACTCGCCAATGAAGCCCATGCCTAAGTTGCCCGATTTCGTTTCGGCCCTTTCGGTCGGATCAGTTTACTGAGTTCTCGGACTCTCCTGATGTGGTTTTGGGATTCTGTCATTACGTCAGATCGGTCGGGTCGTTGTCGGATTAGTCTTTCGATCCTGTGGCCCGATTTGGGTTTTAGGATTCTACCAAGTCGATCGGATCGGATCGGCTGCGATCTCGGGTAGCCCGCTAGATGGCACGCGGCCCGTGGCAGCGGGTAGCGGCGTTGCCTTTGGTCGGTCGGTCGGCCACAAAACGGTGACAGGTGCCTTCCGACCCTATTTGCCCTCTCTTTGCAACAAAAAAACATCCGAACTACTCAGGTCGACTCAGGTGTTCGGGGTGTTCCAAACTATCCAGAGTTACTTTAACAAGGCTGAACACAAGGGCGCCTTCAACGAGGCCATGGCCGAGATTATGAAATACGCAGTCCCATCTGTCTTCGAGGGGGATGAGGCTGAGCGCGACGTTTGGGATGCGGAGATGACTAAGAACCCAAACAATGACGTGAAGTGGCTGCTCAAAACCCCCAAGGACTGCAAGGTGTTGACGAGGCTGTTCAACCCCATGGCCACCTCCAAGGTGTTCAAGGATGCCCTTGACTTGACCCCGTCGAGGAAGACGATTCGGACGACGGCGGCGAGCCCGATGGCCAAGTCTAAGGGCGCCAAGGGCAAGGCAGCGTCGAAAAAGAAGGCGCATCGGGGCGGCCTTGGCGAACCATGCATCTGCAGCGCACTGTCGCGGGCAGGAGCGTCGCAATCCGCGGGCCCCGCGGCCCCGCCGGCCCGAGCGCTGGGCCTGAAAAGGGTTTGACGGGGTTTGGGGGTTTGTGGTTTGTAAGTCGTCCTGCCCGCGGGCTGCGCGCGCGCCTGCATGGACGCGTGGACTCCCAGGGCGCCCGCAGGCCGCTGCCGCTCGCTCTGCTTCCGTTAAGCCCAAGGCAGGCAGCCGCGCGACGCTCTACCTTGACGATGTCATCAACATCATCTTCCACGCTGTGCGCGAGGTGCCCCCCGACGAGAGGGACGGCGTGCAGATGGCGCAGATGCTGCGCTACGGCTGCAGACTCGGCATCAAGGATCAGAGCGATGGGCCCTTGGAGTTCGGCTTCAGCCTGAGCGGCGACGGTGGCGTGGAGGTGGCCCGCGAGAAGTTCGCCAAGTGGTCCCAGCTTCGGCCTCGCATCTACACTCACCTGCGGGCGGTGCACGGGCTAGAATGCAGAGACGCAGACGCTGCTGATGGCGACGGCCGCGACGGCCGCGGCAACCAGGAGGCCGGCGCTGCGGATGACGAAGGCGGCGAGGTGGCCACCTCCACCGCCGCCATCTTGGCGATCATCGGCAACGACATGAAGATGACAGCCCTTTCTGCGCGCATTCGGACGAGATCAAGGCAAGGCGCGTCGCGTTCACGCGCATGAGCGGCCATGTCCTTAAGGCGGTGAAGGCGACCCAGCAGAGCCAGAACCGCGGCGAGTTTGCGAAGGGGGACAGGCCTGCCATCTCCTCGACCTTCGTGGACATGGCCATGAAGATTGTCGACTCCACGGTGCCCGCGAACTTCTTCAAGCTGTCTGGTCTATTGTTGCGGCTGCTTGGGGCTGTTCGCAAGGGCGCGGAGAAGGTGAAGCAGGTTCGTGAAGAGCAGGCGAAGCAGCCCGATCGGTCAGAGTGGGCGCTCGTCCTCGAGGCGGTGGGCCCCGCAGTGGCGGCCTTCGCCGAGAGCCTCTGGAAGACTGAGGCTGCCTTGGAATGGTCAAACTTCACGCGCTTCGTGTACTCGAATCTCTTGCTGCGGAAGGTGGTCACCGAGATGCAGCCCGATGCGTCGCCTGAAGCGCGCGGCTTCTGCGAGCGCGGGGTGGAGTTCGCTGAGAAACTCGACCAGGCTGGCGGCGCGTCCAGGGACCTCTTGCGGAGTCGCTCCGCCAAGTCGGGCAGCGTGGCCGACGCGCGGGTGAAGGTGATCGAGCTGGGGGGCCGCTTCCACGACCGCGTGGCGGTAGAGCCCAGCGAGGCTGTCTGGAGGACGAAACTGAACGGTATCAAGTCATCGGTCTCTGTCAAGACCAAGCCTCAGGTTATCGCGCTGATCAAGGATGAGATCCCCACCGAGGAGCTTCCCGAGAACTTGTCCTCGCAGGCGAAGGACGCGTTTGTGAACCTCGTGGTGAACCATCGGCTTGGCGCCCAGAAGGCGGCTGTCCAGAAGGAGGTTGAGCAGTGGAATCGTTGGTGGAGGTGGCCCTTGGCAAGGGGACCGATCACACCAAGACCCCCGCATCGAGGACTGAGCCGCTGATGCTAGGCGAGGCCACGGCTGCCAGCATCGACGCGGGCTTGGAATCTGCTGGCGTTGAAGTGATCGGCGACAAGAAGTACTGCCAGCTGTTCAGGGCGATGGATGGCAGCAGCGCGCTGACGACGTCCTGGAAGGCTGAGCGCGCAGCCGACGTGATCAGCAAGTGGGCCGCCGATCAGTGGATGCGCGTGGAGGCGCCCGAGAAGAAGCCTGATGAGCGGCCGTCACCAGTTCTACAGCCGCGCGTGTCCATGGTTGACCAGGGGCTTCAGTGGGTGGCGTGCTCCGAGGCGCGGGCGCAGGCTGCTGCGAATGCGAAGGGGGCCGTGAAGCCCCTCCTGGACGTCGAGGGCCGCCGCGGCGACGGCCCCAGAGGTCGCGGCATGGTCAAGTTGCACCTCGCTGGGCGCATCGTCCGCACACCAGGTGCACGCCTGAGTGGCAACCCGGAGTTGGTTGGAAGGGTGGCGGCGTTCCGTCCCCCCCCCCCATCCCCCCCCAACTGGCCCCGCCGTCCGAGGGATGGCGGGGCGAAGATTGAGTGGGTGGTGGTGGGGCAGTGGCGCTGCCGATCTTCCAACTCCTCCCTCTCCTCCTGCCGCCTCCTCACCTTCTCCCCTCCTCCTCCTCCCCTCCTCCTCCTCCTTCCTCCTCCTCCCCCCCTCCTCCCCCTCCCTCCTCCTCCTCCTCCTCCTCCTCCTCCTCTCCTCCTCCTTCTCCTCATCATATTCCTCCTCCTCCCCCTCCTCATCCCCCCCTCCTGCCCCCCCCCCCCCCCCCACACACGCACGCACCCGCCCGCCCTCCACGCCTCCGCGCCCTCCTCTTATCTCCATGCGGGGCGGCGGGTGGGGGGCGACGGCGCGACGATCGGCCCAGGTGCGACACGCGGGGGCGGGCCGCAAATCAAGGTCGGCGAGCTCGCAATCGACGATGCGAACTTCAATATCCTGGCGGTGCCGTGGCCGAACTTCCGAGACGTCCGCGGCGGAGCGAGCGCTCCAGCATGGCTCATGGGGCATTGCGAACCTCGCCCTTCCCACAGTCGTCGTCGCCGTCGTCGTCGTCGTCGTCGTCCTCGTCGTCATGAGTCATTCTCCAATGTCCCACTCGTCCACTCGTCCTCCTACTCCCACCCCTTCCCCCCCCCCCTTCCTCTGAGTCCATTCCGACGGCGAGCGACGCGCAGCAGGGCACTCCCACGATCGCCCACGAGGTCAAGGAGTGTCCGATCCTGGACCCCATCGGCGTTCCACCCGCTCGACGCGGCGCTGGGGCCCGTCGCGATCAAGTGGCACTACCTGGTCGTCGACGAAGTCCCCTACGAGCAGTGCTTGGCCGCCGACGACGGCGACGAGGTGCTGCCGCTCCTGCGCCCGAAGTTCCCATGGGGGGTCAAGGAGAAGTCTGCGGCGACGGCTCCGAAGGACCGCGCTTTCGGACCGCCGCTGCTCCGCCGAGGGCGAGGAGTGCGACGGCGACGAAGACGGGGATGAGTGAGGGACGGCGATAGGGGGGTGAGGATATGAGGATCTGGATAGGGAATGAGGGCCGACGGCGAAAGGAGTGGGCGGGGGAAGGGGGGCGATGGGGGGGGCAAGTTTAGTTGTAGTTGTGCGTCGCGATCGCGATGGCGAGGTTGGAGGGAGGTTGGAGGGAGGAGGTCGGGATATGTGGATGAGGAGGAATGGATGAGGAGGCGCGGCTGCACGGCCGGCGCGCGCCCCCCCCCCCGCCCCCTGAGCCGAGCGGCTGGCCAGGGCGTGGGCCGCGTCCTCGGCTGGGCGGAGCGGCGGAGCGGCCGCTGCCCTTCCTGGCGGCCCGCCCCGACCGTGCGGGGGGCGAGGGTGCGAGGGTCGTCGCCGTCGCCGTCGCAGTCGCCGTCGCAGTTGCAGTCGCCGCCGTCGTCGTCGTCCTCGTCGTCGATTTGTCGTTGTCCTCCTCCTCCTCCTCCTCGTTGTCGGCGTCGTCGTCGGAGCTCCGGGCGCCCTGGGCCCCCTCGCCCTTTTCTTCTCCCCCCGTCCTCACATCCAGCCCCCCGTGGCGTGGACGGGGGGGCTCGCCTCGGTCGCGGCAAGAGGCTCGGACGCCGCCCTGCGCCGCGGGCTCGTTGAAGCGAGCGCGCAGGAGCTGGGCGAACGCCGCCGTCAGGACATGACGGCGCCAGCGCGAAAAATGGCGGCGCTCTCTTCTTGCGGGCGCCCGGGAGGCCTCTGGGGGCCTTTCAATTCTAATGCGTTTCCTCCTCGGGCCAGTGGGCGGGGCATATCACGTGCATGTCCGCGTGGATTCCCGTCGCGAATGAGGCGTTGAGAACCTGAAGCCGCGCGTGAAGATGCGTGTCGCATACGCGCGCGCACGTATTTCCGAAAGTAGCACGCGTTACTGTATCATATAACGGCACATTGTTTGATAACAACATGTTATATGTTTGTTGATGTTGGCAGCATCATGTGCTCGCGCGCGGGCGCGCGATTTTTTGGGCAACAGCGACGTGTGTGAAGGGGTTCGTGGCGTGCCCCTTTCACAGACTGGGTCTGTGAAGGACAGAACCCTGCCCCTTCACAGTGTCCTGGCGGACGCTTCTGCGAGCGACAGCGAGATCCTCATTGCAGCAATCGGGTTCGCCGAATGGGAATGCTCGGGCGTGGGCCCAGCGCGCAGCGGAATGCGCTGTGTCTGCCACGTGCGAGTTCTTGGCGCTGCAATTCAGTGGTAACACTGGCGACTGTGATGACGATGGGGGGCCATTGCCCCGGCGCGAAGGTGACAGTCTGCGCGCCGACACCCAGCCCGACGCCCGACCCCGCGCTCAGCCCCTCGCCAAACCCGACGCCCTACCCTACGTCGAACCCGACGCCGACCCCGACGCCCAGCCCCTCGCCCGGCCCGACGCCCAACAGGACGCTCAACCCGACGCCCACCAGCCCCTACTCGGGCGGAACTGGAGCCGTTGCTGCCACTGGCGACCCCCGCTTGCAAAATGTTCATGGACAGCGGTTCGAGTTGATGAAACCGGGGAAGTACGCTCTCATGAACGTCCCCCGTGGAAGGCATTCCAACGCAATGCTTCGCGTAGAGGCTGAGGCGCGTCAACTGGGAGGGCAATGCGCAGATATGTATCTCCAATAGCTGAGTATCGCGGGTTCGTGGGTGGAGGCGAAGGGAACCGACGGTCTCCGTTTCCAAGCTCAGGTCGCCGGCGACGAGCTTCCGCAGTGGTTCAAGTTCGCGGGGATAGAATTTAAAGTCGCCCGTGGGCGCACTGATCAGGGCGTCGTGTACTTGAATTTCTACGTCAAGCACCGCAGTGGGTTTGCCGTCAGAGGAGCGCTAGGAGAGGATGATCACACAGAGGCATCGGTGCCTTCGAAGGCATGTGTTCACCGCCTTCTCTTCAAATTACGGCTCCGAGTGGCGCGGGTGCACGCGTCTTCTCGACGGCAGAGACAAGTTTAGCAGGATGACATGTGCGCGCAGGATGCTGGCAATTCGCCCACTTTCCTTGTTCCTCCCCATCCTACGTTTGGGGCCGCGTGGTACGGCAGGGCATGGTCTCTGCGGTCTGCGCGAGGCTGTTATGCAGTCGCTAGCCCGCCCACTCCCCTCGTAGCCCTTTTCCCTGACATGTTAAGGGTGTGCAAGGCTGGGCAATTCGCCCATCCTTTCCTCCTGCTTGTGGGGCCGCGTGGGTCGGTAGGTTACGCTGTCTACGGTCTGCGCGAGGTTCATGGGCGGTCGCGAGCCGCACACTCCCCTCGCGGAAGACCTTTTTTTTCCTCTAATATGTTAAGGGTGTGAAGGGCTGGGCAATGTGTTCAGTTTCATTTATCCTACGGCAGGGCGTGCGATCTGCGGTGTGCGTGACGCTCACCTGCAGTCGCGAGGTGCTCACTTCCCTGTTGGAGAAGCCTTTTCCCTGAATTCGAAGGGTGTGCAAGGCTTGTGTTCAGGTTGTGGGTGGGAGACCCATAGTGTGGCGGCGAGAGCACGTTTCGGGGCCTTGGCTGCGCAGTGGCCCGTGAAACCCGTCTGCTCACAGATGGAGACATGTCGCAAGCGTTGTCTCTGCAGTGGGAAGGAAAATAACCGATTCGATCAGTGCATATGTTCTGTTCCAAGCCGTCTTTCGGCTAGCAACTATCATCTCTGAATATCCCAATGCATGTCCACACCGCCTCCAAGAGATATCCCGTGCCGTGACATACGCACATTGCCGTTGCAATGCCTATTCGCGTTGGGGATTGGTTCGATTGACCAACGCATGTTTGGATAAACAAGTCGGCGTTGCGCTTGTTGTTTCTGCGTCGCGCTTGTTGTTGGCGGCTGCTCCCCTATTCACGCAGTGTTTTCTTGCAAGGTTGCAGCATTGCCACTCGCAGCGCGTTTCCGTTGGAGATGGCCTTGACTGTGCTTGCGCGAGGCCGAGTGGCGATCACGCGCAGCGCTGCCCGTTTGCCACGACGCACGCGCGCGCTGTTCAGGGGAGCTCGCATTGGTAACAAGGTGGTCACTGCGGAATTGCAGCACTATGCTTCAGTCGGCGTGTAACGCCCTTTTCACTTGCCAGCTGCACGTGTTTTGCATGGGCGGAGTGCCGCGGCGCACCGATGCTTCGCTAGGCGTGATTGCGCCGATTTTGCGCGACGATGCGCACGCTCACGCGATCAGAACGCATCTGCGTGACGACGAACCTTGTGGCGTCTAGCATGGCGCCGACATTGTTCCTTCTGGGTACGCGGCGCCCCGCCCCCTTCTCCTTCTTGGTGGCACGCCAGCAATGTGGAGTGTTGTTGTTTTCCGTTTGTTTCGTCCAGCATTTGCGGTTGTTGCGTTTTGGGGGGGGCATTACTCATTTCTTTTCCGCTTCTTCCCCGACCTCTTCGCTCTCTCCTCCAGCTCCTTCATTCGCGTTGTGTTTTGTTGTCTGTTATTCTGCGCGCATCTCAATGTGAAGGGCCTGGACAGCCTGTGGAGGACGCGACTCCGTTGGCACAGCATACGCAGTGCGGCTACGCGTGATGTAAAACATGCGCTTGCGATATTCTGGGCTGCTCGCGGCAAGTTCCGCGCGCCGCGATTGCGCAATGTTTCGGGGGCGGCAAAAAGGGGGGAAAGGATCAGGGGGGGGTATCATGGCGTGGGCCATGATATTTCCTCCGATTTCATGGCGCCTCTTCTTATTCCAATTCGTCCCTGGCCCCCCCCTGGGCCGCGCACGCGCCACTGGCCATGATTTGCGCCCCCCCCGCCCCCCCCTCGACGACCACCTCTCGGCCGCCCCCAAATGTTTGGCGTGGCGGGCTTTCGAGCACCACCAAGATGGCCGTACTACCCGACCGATCGTCGCCCATGCCCGTGCAATGGCCGCAACATGCAAACGCCCAGCCGGATCCTCTTCGGAGCGTATTCTATCGTTTTCTCCG